TCTTAAATTCTGGTTATAAGTCTGTAATTATATATATGATTAGAAAAGATTTTAACCTAGACTGTGGCCTCCCCTGATATTCTATTAACAGTGTCTTTCACAGAGCAAGTTTATTAATTTTAATAACATCCAATCTATCAATTTTTTTATAGATTGTGTGTTTAGTGTCATATCTAAAAACTCATTTTCAGATTGAAATGACACATTTTCTAGTATGTTTTTCTCTACACATTTTATAGTTTTACATTTAAGATCTGTGATCTATTTTGTATTATGTGTCCAGGGACTTGGCTTTTTCTTTTTAAAATCCAGAACCATTTGTTGAAAAGATAACAAACACCAAGTTTCCATTTAATTGGCTTTGCATTTTTTTCAAAAATAGGTTGACAGTATTTGTCTGGGTCTATTTCTGGGATTTCTATTCTATTCTTTTGACATGTCTCTATAATTTAGTCAACAGCACACTGTCTTCATTACTATGCTTTACAGCAAAGATCTTAAAATGGGGTACTGAGTTCTCTAGCTTTGCTCTTTTCCCTTTTTTATTTTAGAGAGATTTTTGCTATAGGGCATGTGTGCTTGCCAGAGAGACAGAAAGGGAGAAATCACTCCCCCTCCTCAGGGGAATGGCTAAGCCACAATCCCTTCCCCGTTCTCCTCTCAGGATTTTGGGCATGCACGCACGCACACATGTCTGGTGTGAATTTTAAGCCGCTGGGTCCGGGACTCAAACTGTAGTCAACTATGTGGAAGTTCAGTGAAATAGTTATGCTGTAACAGTTATTTACATATTTTTTTACATAAATAACTGCTAATAAGGAAATGGGCAAAGGTAATGATTAAAGAAAGAATCATTGTATAAGTGGATTAAGTTCTGCAGACTTAATAGAATTAATTCAAGAAAACCAAATCTAAGTATATCATAGTAAAGCTAAATCACAAAGTCAAAGAGCAAATCTTAAATACCACAGAGGAGAGAAAAACCTATAGTACTTTGAAAGAATGATTTCTGACTTTTTAACAGACACAAATTAAAAAGCCAAAAGACAATGAAGTGGCATCTTAAAAATGCCTCCCCACTCCAAAACATAACTATCAAACTAGAATTCTATAAAGAAGAGTGAAACCAAGATGTTTTCAAATAAATAAAATCAAATTTCTATCCAGGATACTTATATAAAAATAAATATTGAAGAGGGCTCTTCAGGAAAAGGGAAAATGATGAAAGAACACAAATGAAAACAGAGAACTGTAGCAAAGGATAAAAAAATAAAAGGGTAAATAAGGAACTTAAATGAATAAAAGTATATGAACAAAAACAATTTCTTGTGTGTTCTATACATGTAGAATTAAGATGCATAAGGGACCACCAGCAGAAGGTGTAATGGTTACATCACTGGACTCCCATGTAGTCAATGCGGTTCAGGTAGCTTAAAACTCACACTAGGTGCATGTGCATACATGTCCAAAATCCCGAGAAGAAAATGTAGGAGAAGGAACTGTGGCTGGCCATCCCTCCAAGGGGTGATTTCTTGCTTTCTGTCTCTCTCTGTCTCTCCGGTGAGCACACACCTATAGCAAAAATATCCCTCTCTAAAAAAAAAGATGTATAATAACAGACATGCAAAATGCAGGCAGAATGAAAAGAGTTATGTTTTCATTTCCTAATATTATTAGGGAAGGCATTAAATAAATAATTTGTCATGTATGTATATTAAAATCAATACTGTCAATGTAACGGGATAGAGAAAAAAAATTGAATAATAAATTAATAAAATGGAAAATGAATTATAAAAAATATTTGATTAATCCTAACTAAAGCCACAACTCAAGTTAAGATACTAGATTTTTAATCTTGAAAAAAAAAATCTCATGGGCTACTTACAAGATATACAATTTATGTACAATGATTACAAAATGTAAGAGGGTTTGGGGCCCTTTCCAAATCCTCTTGGCCAAGAGGGCATGGAAAACTTAGCCATAGCCATGCCTAGTCTTTCTTAGCATCTAACTTTTTAATGCTAAATCTACATTCTTTCAAGTAATGTTGCAGTCCCCCAAATTTTCTAAACTAGTTGTCACTGCATCTTGTGATACATGTGTTATCAGAACATGTAGATCCTAAAGCTAACAGTGTGGCTCTTCCCTTCTCTCCTTAAATCCCAGGAAAGGGCTTGGGATTTAAAGAAAGTGCCTATACTCTCTGAGTTACCCAATTCCATTGCTACAGAACATTCTGTTGCCTTGTTTATACCAGTCTAAATTCTTGACAAACACATTATGTGATCCTATTCTTGTGACCTTTGCCTTTAAAAGCCTACTGGAAGCTTCTCGGACCTCAGAGCACATGTTCAAGGCTGTGTGAATCTACCTCCCAAGTTGCAACTCTTATCAGCCCAAATAAATTCTTCTGTCTTATGGTTTCCTTAAGGGTTGATATGACAAAAGGAAAAGGATGGGGAAATATATATTATGTATATACATGCCAAAAGAAAGCACTTGTAGCTGCAGCAATATCAGAGAAAACGTACTGTGAAACAAGGAATGTTACTAGAGAAAAAGAGAGACTTTTCACAAGAAACAGTACCCAATTATGAGGGCCCCATGTTGGTCGGAATGGACTCCCAAAGGCCCCACCTCCCAACATATGATTTGAACATATGCTCCCCAAATTCACCTTTGAGATTTCATGAGCCAGTGTGAAGAGATTACTATGGTGGAAACTTAGTCCGACTATCACTTTGGGAGGTGGGCCTTTGGAAGTTGATTCAAACCAGCGTGGGGCCCTCAGAGTTGGACACTCCTGGGTTTATAAGGAGTCACATGGCCACGCGTGTTCCTGCTATGTCTTGCCATGTGTTGCTCAGTAGGAGTCCCCAGCAGCAAATGCCATGATTCAGGCTGGCTGAGAGTACGGTAGCCACAGTGTGAAGTCTCCACTGGGGATTTTTCTCTCTCATAGGAGAAATAAATAAATATTTCAAAATTTATATGGATATCTTGATCAAAAAGAGAAAGGTAGACAATAGAGTAGAAAAATGAAAATGAGCTGAACAGGCATTCATGAAAGAAGATATCCGAATGGTCAAAAAATAGATTTGCTAGGCGGGCGCGTGTGCGTGCGTGCCCAAGATCCCGAGAGGAGAATGGAGGAGAGGGGATTGCGGCGTGACCATCCCCCCGGGGGGTGATTTCTCGCTTTCTGTCTCTATGTCTCTCTCTGTCTGTCTGGCAAGCGCATGCGCCCTACAGTAAAAATCTCTCAAAAAAAAAATAGATTTGCTAGACAATTACGAAACAGTCAGTTAAAACCACTATCAGATAGATTACTTTTTGTTTATAAAAATGGCCAAATGAAACCACATAAGCACAAACAAACATAAAATTGATCAAGTAGTAGTGAGTACATGAACAAATGGAACTCTCTCACATTGGTAGTGCAAGTACAAACTGTTAAAACCACATAAGACATTATTTGGCAGTATATATGAGAGCTGAATGTACACACCCTCTGAGTAGTTTCATGGAGAGGTATAATAACAAGTAAAATGTGTATAATGTAGCCTAAAGATTTGTGTAAACTGCTCATAGCAGCTCGATAATGGCTCAAACCAAAAATATCTCAATTGGCCATCAACAGAGATATAAATAAATAAGTAAATAGTACCATAGAGCAGCAAGAATGAACTACAGCTATATAAAATAAGATGTTGGAAATGCAAAAATTCCTGAATTATAAAAACAAAGAGAAACAAGTTATAAAAAAAAAAAAAGGAGTAGACACTGTAAGATCTAATTTTTCTAAAGTTCAAAACACACAATGCTGGGCCAATAGATGGTGTAGTAGCAATTATGTCACTAGACTCCCACCTCGCCAACCCTAGTTCAAGTCCCAGACCCAGTGGCCTGAAAATCACGCCAGGCACATGTGTGTGCATGCCCAAGATCATGGAAGGAGAATGGAGGCAAAGGGATTGTGATGTGGCCATCCTCCTCCCACCCCTCTCCTGAAGATGATTTTTCACTTTCCCTCTCACTGTCTCTGTATCTTTCTGTCTCCAGTGAGCACATATGCCCTAAAACAAAAAGCTCTAAAATACACACACACACACACACACCCCAAATCTTGCTCTTAGAAGGTAATGTTTACACTTGGCATGTCCTTTTGCAGAATTACTATTATTTTGTTTCTTGATCTGGCAAAAAGTTTACATTAAGTCTGTTGACTTTATTATAATTCATCAAATTGTTACTTACTATTTTATTTTCTACAGTTATATTGTACTTTGAAAACAAGCTTAATTTTAAAAACAACATACATATAGAAATTTAAAATCATAAAAACCTAATCTCAAGGTCACGTAATCCAGTTATATTGTAGGCACTAAACTTCATGCTCAGCATGGCATAGATGATAAATGACTGTTTTTTTTAAACTAATGAATCAATAAATCAAACACAAAAAGAATATACTGTCATGATTTCCCAGCTATCGTGCGTATAAATATTTGTTTTATCTCAGAAAACATTCTCATATTGATGATCTCTAATATCAAACCCAACAAACCTGACCTTCTCTCTTCTTTCACATGTTTAATGAACATATAAGTCAGCTGGGAAGCATCTTCAACATACAATTCATTCTCACATACATAGAGACACTCCTCCACCCTCATGCCACCATTTAGAATTAAATCTATTGTAGCAAATGGAATTGCTTTAACTAAGCCACAAAACAAGTTTCCATGTTTTGAAGACCATGAAAATACTAATACTATCACTTGATGTTTATAGTTCACGTGATGTTACACATTTTGCATGGTGACTCTGATCAAACAAAAAGTCAGGTATGTTGCCTTTGGCAAAATTATTTATTTCACTATATAGAGTTTTCTCTCTTTTTTTCTTCCTAGTGACTAAATACTGCAAGCTTTAAGCACAGTAGGTAAATTTCTTGCCCTATTATAAAATGCCTTCAAGAGAAAATTTTAGAAACTAACATATAAAGGTCTTTGATGAGCCTGATGTGATTTCAAGACATTTTTTACCCGGTCATGGATCTCATCGCAGTTTGAAGGTGAACACCAATCAGAATGGAATCTGTAAGCATAAACAAAAAATGGGTAATTTATAGACAGGAGAGAAAAACAAACCTTTCCAAATATGAGATACAGAAAGTCATTTTATTCCCTTCCTCTATATGATAACTTATATAAAATTAAAATAACTTATTTTCTTTCTTTGACCAAAGAAGAGGGGAGACATAAACTCAGGTACTGATTCTGAGCTACCCTACTAACTTTTCACCAAACGCAACACACGGTCTAATAATAAAGTATGACATGCATTTGGGGAACATTCATATCACTTTAATGATTTCCATAAATAATTATTTATAATTTTATCTCTACATAAAGATATAGATTTTTATAGTAGAATAATAATTCCATGCACAATTCCTTTAAAATTAGTTCTTATACTCTAGCAATATTCTCTTAAACTATGTGGAAGAAATTTCTTTATGCATACAAAAAAAATTTTTATGAAATAGAACAAAATGTGTCTAATAGATGCAGATGTTATTTAGAATCCAATCATGTTCTTATTCTTTCTGAATATAGAGCAACACAGAACTGCAACAGTCCATTCTGAAGACAGAATATCACCTTCCTAGTCTCTTCTATGAGAAATATTTTAAAAAGAAAGACTTAAAACAGGTTTAAAAAAGGTACGACTTGTACTAGAGTCTTGATACTAGAAGTACAGACATCAAAAAAGAAATGAAGCATCCATTCTTCTATCATATGCCCTTCCCAAATTTAAAACTGGCATGAGTATAATTAAAGTACTTCATTTGTTTCATACTAATACTTATACTAACAATAGAAATTTCCTTCTAATTATGTGAAGCTTCTATATGAAGCACTGTTGGTAATTCCTTTATAAAGAAATAGGTAAAAACACTAATATATTGTTTAAATCTTTGCCATTTTTCTCTTCCAATTTGTTCTTACAAAGGTACAATTTTATATGTTTATACAAAGTATAAACTTTAAAGCAGGATAAATGGTATATGTAATCTACTTTAAACAACACAATTGATAATGGATAATCAGCTATATCTAAATTTTAATTTCCTGTGGTATAAAAACAAGATTTACTGCACCTTTGTACATATATCAGCAGACTTTGTTATTTGCAATGTGTACAGTACATCTTGGAAATCGGAGATACAATTCTGCAGCTCCAGGTGCATCTCTTCAACGATACTGTTAGGGAGTCCACTAGTCTGTGCTGTGGTATAAAGAATGCTTGTCTATCAGCCTTCAACTCCATTTACAAAACCAAAACTTGAAGCATGATTCAGAAGACGTCAGTTCCTTTTAAATTAGATTTGCTAGTAATTCTGAGTGTAATTTTAGTAATAACTCCAATGCCTAATGCTAATTTTAATTCAAAATATTAATATTTATACCTTGAGAAGAAAACTGCTCCTGAAATATAACATTTATAATTAAAATTGAAACCATTTTATGGTGTGCTAACTTTATTGGAGGTATTTTTTAATTGGGCTCAAAGCAAAAAGTACCTTCACTATAAATAAAGAAATTAATTTGCTTAAAGTCGCTTCTAAAATTTTTAAAAATCTATTCTTTTATGTACATGATTATGAAGTCAGAATTTTGCTACAACTTTAGAAGAAACTTAATTATTTTCACCGAATATTTTCACAGATAAACATCTATAGTTCTATGTTCTCTCAAACAGCTTCCAGGTAAAACTTCCAATTTTACCTGGAACATATAATCTACATCAGTTAAAACTGTTTATTGATTTCAATTGATTGTATAAACACCCTGAAAGTATATTGCTTAGTGGCCTAGAAAAAGCCAGATCAGAAAATGTCTTATATTTAAAGATGTGCTATGGAGTTTTGAAAAGAATAAAATATTTTCTTCCTGGTTATATATTTTAAAGGTGTTTTATTTTTCTTTATAGAGTAAATCTATATGTTTTTAATAAAATGTACTCAAAATAAAAGTGTTCTACATTAGTAAAAGTGAAAAACCTTGTCCAGCACAAAAATTACATACAAATCTGAGTTGAGTAGAGGTTACATGCTGCTTACAGAAAGCCAGATCTTACATGGCTAACTAGGATTTGAATCCCAGTCCTGGCAGCTTAAAAACATGATGGGCACATGTACATGTATGTCCCACATCCTAAGAGAGAGAAATGGAAGAAAAGGGATTGTGGTATGACCATGCCCCTTTGGAAGAATGCTTTCTCATTCTCTGGTGAGTATACACGCCCTCTGGGGGGAAAAAAATCTACCATATACTGCAAGCCATATCCTGCACTAAAGTATAAATAAAGACCTGACTTCAGTTCTTCATGAAGAATTTTTTAGTATAGTTTCAGTGAAGAACCTTATCAACCTGTAAAGTATAAGAGTTAAAGCAGGAGCCCAATTGTATACAAGGATGAAAGGACGAAAATTGATACCATACTATCCATATACAGTAGATTTACAGGTGGAGGGTTCTACAAAACATATGAAAAAGTAGATGCGATCTAAAACCTGTTCAAGATAAAAAAAAAAAAAACTCTTAAAACCCAACATATATGGCAAAAGGTCAAATCAACAGAACCACAAGAGTTTTCATTTAGAAGTGGGTAGAAAGAAAGTGCATCACCTGCATGACTGAGCCTCTGAGCAGACGTGGAAACCGAGGAGAGTTCACTAACACTGAGATGCAAGTTACCAGCTTTGGAGACCCTCTCCAACTTGCAAAGTGTGTGGGGGTGTACACACCCATTAGGTATGACTAATGGACTAGAAGCAACATTAATCACAGTCCCCTATCTCAAGAATGGGATTCTAACATGCCTCCTGCCTCTGTGTGTCCAATGTGAATGTTTACAAAGCTAATGAGTAAATAGACAGACCTATTTGTTTGGAACAGGGATGTTTTAATGTAGCATTCAAACACATTCTTGTCTGAATCATCAGTTTTGAGCTGAACTTTTGCTCTGTTCTGTATATCCTCTGCAGCTAATTAAATCTCTGCTGATCATGTCTGACAGCCCTAATACAGGGGAGGAATTTATTGTGCTACTTTGGGTTTTGATACCATCTGTGGATAGACTGACTGGTGGGTTGTTGACAGTGTATCATTCAGCTTTTCAAAGTTCTGTAAATTTTTTTAAATAACCAGAGTTGAGATTTTTTTTTAATGACAAAACAGTTTTCTACATAACTATTTGTGACAGAGAAAGGCATTTCCAATCCTAGATTAAAACATATATAAAATAACTTTCTCTTTCATTTCCAAATTATAGTAAATATTTTATTTTAGTTGCCAAAGCAATTTTAGAGGAAGGGCTAGAATCTTTATACTATCAAGTTTATCTTGGGGAGTTTGGGTAAGATTATTAGAGAAAACTAGATACCATCTACCAACAATATATATAGAGAGATTACCATTGTGACTAAATGAGAAATATAATTTATCCTAGTTTAATACTTAAGGCAAGCTTATACAATTAAACCCCTAGGAATCTACTAAAAACAAACTACCACTTGTCATTTATAAGAACAACAATATTTAAATAGAGTTAAGGTGACCTATACTTGGTTAATAAATTCGATTCTAGAAAACTGAACTTGGAAGAAATATCTACCACATAATACATTCTAAACGGAAACATATAATACATTCTAAACGGAAACAATTTAAGTAAGCTTCTTAAAGTGAAATTATACCTTTACAAATAATCACTTCACATGCATAATTGCTGCCTTCCTTTTCTAATGCTGATTATTCAAAAGACAAATACAGACTACACATTACCTTTCCCTGAGAGAAGCTCTATTTAACACAGGGCTTGGAGAATGCTTTGGCATTGTGGAAGGTGCTGAGTGGACTAGTAAGGTCCTTGCTGAATGCTGGGGCTTACTACACGGTCTTGAGCTCAGATAATCTTCGCACCGTTCTAAAGAGTCATCAAACTCTCTCCCATGCGGTGTCCTGATAACCTGTTTTAAAAAGTATATACACACACATACATATGTATATAGTAGCATAAAATATAGTAACAACATCACATCACATCACACACACACACACACACACACACACACACACACACTTTTTATATACCACTGCTATACATGAAGGCAAATTTCAGAAAGTTGTAAACTTTATTATTCTTACAAGAGTAAATACTAAATACATCTGGGACTTACTAATGTATTATGCCTAGGATGGCCCTATAGCCAAATGGTTAAGGGAGCTGGACCCCACATGGCTGACCAGGGTTTGAATCTCAGCCCTGGTGACTTAAAAAACATGGCAGGCACATGTATGTATATGTCCAAAATCCCAAAAAGATGGAAAAATAGAGGAGAAAAGATTATGGTTTTACTGCAACCCAATGAATAGTGCTTTCTCCCTCTCCTCTTCCTCTCTCTCTGTGTTTCTCTGCTTCTCTCTGGCAAGCACACATGCCCTGTGGCATTTAAAAATAAGTATAATGAAATATACCTCATTCATATCACATGTGTAAGATTACAAAGCATAATCAGTCTGAAAAGTTTTTTTAATAGGTATGGGGTTTGTATAGGGGTGTTTTTTTATAAAACAAAAAGCATACACAGGACCACCAGATGGAGTAATATTTATATTGCTAGATTCCCATGTGGTTGACCATGGTTCGAGTCCCAGATCTGGCGGTTTGAACTCATGCTGGGTACAAGCATGTGAGTGCCCAAGATCCGGAGAGAAGAATGGAGGAGAGGAGATTGTAGTGTGGCTATTCCCGCTGGGGGGTGATTTCTCACTTTCTCTTTGTCTCTCTCTGTCTGTCTGGCTCCAGCAAGTGCGCACACTCTATAGCAAAAACCTCTCTGAAAACAAAGAAGTAAACACACACACATATACATAAACCAAACTATAGCCAGTTTAGCTATGAGATCAAACAGAACTAGATTCAAATTATGGCCCTAATACTCATTCATTGCTTCCTTTGTTCTACAGATAAAGAATAAATCAGGATGGATAATCCCTGCCCTTGTGGAACTTATACTTAATACATTTACATTCTGGTAAGGAGAGGCAGATTTAAAACACACACACACACACACACACAACCCGAATAGGTAAAATATAGAGTATGTAAATGGACAGTACTAAGAGAGGAAATAAAGCATGAAAGGAGGAGATAAGAAGTACTGATGGGACAGGGTGGAAGGACATGTAGGGAAGAAACTATAATTTTAAATGAGACAGTGAGTGAAACCTCATAGAGAAGAAAATATTCTACTAAAGCCTGAAGAGCATGTTTCATAAGAGCATAAGACATAAGCCCTAGAAACATTTGTCGGAAAAGTATTCCAGAAAGAGAGAAAAACACATGTGAAGATCCTTGGGTGGGTTGGCGGGCATGCCTGATATCCTAAGGAAGTCAGTGGGGTTGAACTGAGTAGTGAAAACTGTCGAACAGGTGAATTTTAACATTTTTGGCTTCTGTTCTGAGCTAAGAAAAATATATACCCTTTTAGTTTGTGTGTTTAAACAAACCCTCCCTAGCTACTATGTTGACAACAGTCTGTAGGGGAGCCAAGGGCAGTGGCAGAGACATCAACTAGGAAATATTACAACAAAATCTGGAAAAGGATGATGGCTTAGATGAGAATGAGAGCAATGGAGGTAAGAAGTGATCACAGGACAAGCAGATGGCATAATGGTTACGTTATGGGACTCCCATACAGTCAACTATGGTTTGAGTCCTGGACCCGGTGGTTTAAAATTCACACCAGATGTATGAGTGTGTATGCCCAAAATCCTGAGAGAAGAATGGAGGAGAAGGGATTGTTGTATGGCCATTTCCCCCTGAAATCTCACTTTCTGCCTCTCTGGCAAGCACACACACCCTATAGCAAAAAAAAAAAAAAAAAAAAAAAGATCACATTCATATTTGAAAGATGGAGCCAAGGATATTTGCTAATGGACTAATGTCAACAATGACATCCACATATTTTGGCTTAATCAACCAGAAGAGTCGATTCTGTATGAATTTAGTCATATTCTTCCAAATAGAAGAGTAAGAGATTAGGAGTCTAGTTCTGGATAGATGAAGTTTCACATATATAATAATCAATTTATCATACAATAAAGTATAGTTCAGAGGGAAAGTCCAGGATAAACATATAAATTGGAAATAACCAGAGACTTATTGGTATTTAAAGATATAGCACTGGGGGCCAGCCAGTGGCATGGTCATAAAGGCAGCTGGATCCCACAAAACTGACTGCATGGTTTGAGTCTCAGACCCAGAAGCCCAAAAAACACACTTGGTGCATATGCATGCATGCCCAAAATCCCAAGAGGAGAATGGAGAAGGGATAGTGGCATGTCCATCTCCCCTTGGGCATGTTTTCTCACTTTCCCTCTCTATTTCTCAGTCTCTCTCTGGTGAGTGTATGCATATACTACAACAACAACAACAAAGATATGGCATTGGGTAATATCACCAAGGAATTCAGTACAAATAGAAAGAAAACATCTGGAGAATGAACCCTGGGAATACTCCAGTACTTAGAGGATATAGAGAGATGAGAAGAAAACATTAGACTGAGAAGCAGCAAGAGAAGAAATAGGAGAATGTGTTGTTTTGGAAGCCAGGAAAGAATGCATTCACACGTGCAGAACATAGGCTGTAACTGTGTAAAATATTGCTAATAGGTCAGGTTAGACACGACCATTAGCAACAATGAGGTCATCAGCAATTCCGACATGGGTACTTTTGCTGGAGTGATGACAGTGAAAGTATTAGTTCAATTCAAAAGAAAATCAGAGGCTAGGAATTGGATTCATTTAACAAATGTTCAAGTTCCAGCCACTGTTTTAAGTGTTGGGACACTAACAGTGAATTAAACAAAGTTTCCTTTTTTAAGAATTTATGTCTCACAGTGCTATTTACTAAATATTTGGTCTTTAAGAGAGCTAACTAATTTTTCTCAGACTACTTCCTTCATATGTAAAGTAGGGTTAATAATAGCTACATTATAGCTCTTTCATAATTTATTTAAAGTTTTCTTGCAGAATGCCTAGGTATATAAAGTAGTCACGCAATAAATGTAAGTCATTTATTATTAAAACACCAGCCCAACACAATTTTTTGCTTCAATACTACCACAATTTTCACTGCATTCCAGAATTACAACGACATATGGTGAGTCAGCAGACTGCTAAGAGAACCAAACTTTCATTCCAGAACCAAATGGCACAGTTCAAATGACTCAGTTACAGTCTCAAATATCTGACTAAATAGAAATATGTAACCTAGATTGAATAAAATTTAAAAAATAAGATTGCTCCATTGTTAGGTATTCTTAGGAACAACGTAAAAACATAGTGAATGTCAAAAACAAGATCAAGACTATGGTCAACAATGTAAGTTCATATGTTAACAGATCCAATCAAAAGGGGAAAGGGGGGGGAGACATAGTGCTGTTTCTAAAACCATATCCTTGAACCACTTCACCTATAGCAGATTTTCTTTTTATTAATTTCAGCACCAAATGAGTCATGTTGTCTGTCAGAGCACTCTGCAGTTTGCCTACTAAATCTTTTCCCAAACTAGTCAGTTATGCTTTAAATAAAGTCCCTTCTAGGTGAATACCACTGAATTTCTACCAGAATATTCACTGAGAATCTGAGTATGTTAGCTAATACTCAGATCTAGACAGGGACAAGAATTTGAACTCATAATCCAGATGAGACAATGCATATCCAGAAAGGTAGGTGATAATAAGATACGCTAATGTATCGAAAATACCCCCCTGACTATAATTGCAAAGGAACTTCAAAGGCATAAGACTTCTAATGGTGGATGGTGGAGGTGCCATGTAGCAACTAGAACTGGAGTTAAGGCATAAGAAGAGGAAAGGCAGAGAAGGGGATTCGGAACAGGAAAAGGATACTGTAAGAGATGGATAATGACTAGAATTACTTGCCTAATTCCATACAGCGTTTATATGCTTTTTTTTTTTTTTTTTTTTGCTATAGGGCACATGTGCTTGCCAGACAGACAGAGACAGAGAGACAGAAGTGAGAAATCACCCCCCAGGGGGGATGGCCACACCACAATCCCTTCTCCTCCATTCTCCTCTTGGGATCTTGGGTGTGCACGCACATGCGCCTGGCGTGAGTTTAAGCCACCGGGTCCAGGATGTGAACCACGGTCGACTACGTGGGAGTCCAGCGACATAGCCATTACGCTAACTGCCGGTCCCATATGTTTTTAACTAATCACTAACCTAAGAATTATAAGCCAACCTGTAACCTGCAGGTCCTCTGTCTAGATGTTCTTCCATTTTGGGGTAGGCCAACATGAAAACTCCATGTGTTTTACAGTTTTGTTTGTATCTCTTATTCTCAGAACTAAATAAAAGAGTTGCTATATCTAAACCCCCTGGAATGCTTTCTCAGGCTACCAGAGATTGTGTTCATGGGCTATGATCACTCATAATTGGCTATGAATAAACCTTTTAAAATATTTTTTATAGAGTTTTGATATTTCTGTCAGCAAATATTAACAAATTATACTTAGTAATGTTAAGGAAATGAACTAAAAGAACACATTATGACCAAGGTTGGTTTTATTCAAATAATACAAGGATAGCTTATCATTAGAAAATCTATTAAATCATTATGACACAATATAATCATCCCAACAGATACTGGTAAAATCATTTGATTATACTCAACATCCACTCATGATTAAAAGAAAAAATATTATTAGAAAACAAGGAATTTCAAATGGAACTTCCTTACCTTGCTAAAAGATACCTAACAAAACTCTACTGCAAATACCATTCATAAGTGTAAACTTAGACATGAGCCTATCAGAGACAGGAACAAGATGAGAATACACACTGTATTATTCTATGCTGCAGCGTATCAGGCTATACCGTGGAAGCAAATTAAGCTGGAAAATCAGTGGCTTAACATAATAAAAGTTCATTTTCCTTTG